AGGGGGGGAGGGAGGGTCAGAAAATTTGAAAAAACACCTCACGTAATTTATGGACGCCCCCTAATGCTAAGTGCAGTCTCAGCGCAAATTTACTCCAACGCTAAACTTTGTTTATTAAAACACTATAAGAGTAGACCCTGTATTCCGATTTTTTGAATTTGGTTTTTTGAACTCGAATGCGACACATATAATTATGCGTTTTAAGTATGTATAAAAATAGTTTCTACATCGTCAATAATCTAGTCTTATTACAGCTTTTCTGTCTGCCATCCTCGACCTTTAATTATTTCGGATACCATTTTTATAATGGTTGTATTGTCTTCGACAGACGAAATTAATATATTTTACATTAAGGGTATATTTATTGTGCAGTTTGCCGTAAGATGTTGATAAGAATTATATTTTATGAAACTATAAATGTCTAAACGAGGACGTTTACAATCGTGATACCTATAAACAAATAATGTTATCTCTGGCATAGAAATTTATTGATTTTATAAATATATACAAATGTATAATAAAGAAGGTTTGAAAGATTATTGAAAGGTTGTCAAACTGTACTATCGCAAAGCTGTAACCCCATTTGAAGTTTATATATTTAATCGGAATTATCTCTTGCGGTAATTCAAATTAATATTAAATTATATCGCGGTTAATAATTTGATTTTAATAATAGCTGTAAATAGATGTTTAAACTGAATTCTTTCAGATAAAAAGCGGCATTTATAATGTGAAATTCTGAAATTAACCACACAATGGTAAAGCGTTCTTCGAACTCTATTGTTAAACAAACTATAACACAATGTGTGCAACGTTACTTTGTTTAAACTGAACGAACAGTACGTAACAGTAACATACATTGTTAAAATTAACTTTGTTACGATGGTATTTCTTCCACATAATGCGGATACTTTGGTTAGAGCGTATATGGTAAACAGATAGAACAAAAGCTTATTTGTGTGGTAGCAAATTCTAAGCTATTAAAGCGTTGACTTAAATGAAGCTTAATTTAATGTAGTTTATCCTATCTCTGTTTTAATGTAGTATGATAATGCAAATGCAAATTAACGATGACAATGTGTAGTGTAGTGATATTTTTTCTCTATATAACTATTATTACGCAACACTCAGAGTGGTAACAGTTAAGTTTTACATAGGTGAGGTGTATCTATTTTGCGAGAGTATTATTATATTGATGTGTGCTGCCGCCTAGACGCGGGGGTCGCCAACCGCGAGGGCTTCGACCTGCGTCAGTGGAGCGCCTGCGCGACCCCGCCCGACTCGCCCGGCGCACCCCGCTAGCTATCACCAACCCAGCACCGTCGAAACAGTCTGGGCCTCCCAAACGCCCGGGAACTAGAGCGCTTAAATTTATCTCAGAGCCTGGCCCTAGCAACAGCGGTGAATGCCTAGGTGCACTAGCTGCCATCATTGATTACTGTCCCACGCTACTGCGTGCGCAGATTATGCATGTCACGCCCCATGTTTCGCTTTCTATTCAACCTTTTCTAAAATTAGAACGTATTTTACACTACTCGTGCATACGTTTCGGGCTTTATTAGTTTTGATTATAATTAATATCAAAACTTATCATTTACTATTTACTTTGATTGTCATAAAATATATACTAAGCAAACTTTTACCGGTATAATCGAAATCATAATTATAAATAAAGAAACGAAATTATATTTTGTTACTTTATACTTTGATAGCTGTAGGTATGGGTTCATTTGTTATTAATTAAATCTTTATAGGCATTTTATAAAGACAGAACATCAAATATATTTGAAACAACTTAAATACATTTTTATTTATGTTGATGTATTAAGTACGAATTAGGATAATAGGTAATACCTAATTAAACTTTTTTGACAAACTTATTGGAAGCTTTAGTCATACAACATAAGAGTTTCTGTCTAATACGAGGTTTAATCTCTTACATTCAACTAATCGATTAAATCCCATTACTTGTTTCCCGGATATTCTGCAATGCCTTAATGTGTTTATGGGTATTTATAGATTCTTGGTTCAAACTAGACCTGCGTTGCGTCATCAAATATTTGTCCATTCGTGTTGTAAGTGGAGCTGTTATAGATTATTATTAACGAAATGAAAATTTTTGGTACTTAGTAAATGAAAAGCGTTATAGATACTGTATTATGAATGTTTATTCTTCCGCTGATCTAATATTTGATCCGTTAATGTAAGAAATACTCTTTTAATCAAATGTATATATGTCGTGGGCCAATCATAAAAGTAGGCCGATCAAGATCTGCTTCGGCTCTCGTGATTTTAGTAAGTTGCTGGTGTTGTTGATGTTCGAAATAAAAAATACCTGACACCTTTCTCGAGCAAATCGATTCTGTAAAGTGTGCTATCATATGTCAACAAAAGAATATAACAAATAATTTAAAAAAAACAACTTTTATTAAATCAAACCATTACTTGAAATAGTAATTCTTTTATAATATGTTTATAAAACAACGCGAATAATTATCGTTTGCCAAATGCATTGCTTGATAATGTCTTAATTAATTTTTAACAGTAAGTTAATTAAACAAAATTATGCTAAGTTTATGTGGTTTACTTGGTTAGGGTAAGCATATTTTTCTTTTATTTGACTATCAATCAAACGGTAACGGCTAAAGTTATACACACTACAATCGATTCGCCCAAGTCAACCGGGCAAATCGTCAAACTTTACCGAAGTACTATAAATGACCGTCGAATCATGAAATAGCGACAGATCCGATCTCTCAGACATATCTTGATAGGCTCAATTTTACGATTTACTAACGATATAACGATTCTAACAGTAAAGATTTGTAAAAACACAAAAAGGTTGCCCTCTTCATAATGATTTTACCGACTCAAGACAACCTATTTTTGTTTGTTATCGCCGTGAAATCTAGATAATTAAATTTTTAGTTTGACCGTATGGTAATAACAATGACCAATGGATGGTACATCGACTGAATTGGGTGTTAGAGCGTGAGGATCGGTCGCGGGCGAAGGGGAGGGGTCGTGGCCGGCCGCTGAACGCCGCAGTCGAAATCAATACAGCTGCTCTCCCTGCTCGGTATGAGCTCGCTCGTCTGGAGCCCGTCGCCATGGTTACACATGGAGATAAACCAAGCTGTGTCGCCCCACCCTCCCTGCACCCGCCGCCTCATCCCCTCGTGCTCCCGATTCCCAGTGTAGCATCCCACGCACGTGGCGGGCTACTCGTTATTTGTTCACTTATTTTGATTTTCTCGCGGGATGCCCGTTATTGTCTGTTTTTGAACACGTGTATTGAAACAGCCATCCATTTTGTATGCCTAATAAGTAATAACGACACTTAAAATATATTTATTGCTATTAGGTATTCTCACTTTATTAACAACTAAAATTTAAATAATATACACTTCTTTCTATCTATCTACATTACTCATAGTTATTCCTAAGTAGAGATGTGCCGAATAGTGGTTTCACCGAATAACACAATACCAAATAGTATTCGGTTTAACTTTTACCGAACCGGATATTCGGCTAAAGTATCAGGCTTTCTATTTCATTATTTTATTTAACCAGAATGTTTCTAAGTGGTTCTTGTAATATAGCGAACAATTATTTTGAAAGTGGAAACCTATAAGAAGAAAAACCTAACAGACTTGCGGGAGAGGGTCGAGAGGTTGGTGTTTCTACACCATAATTTTACTATTCATTAATTATAAATGTTAAAATATGTAAATTATTTTTTTATGTTATTTTTGGTTCCTATTATATTTTTATAGTGACTATAGTTTATGGAATAAATATTTATGATTTTTGATCAATTTTTTATTCTTAATGCTGTACTGGAAAATTATCGTAATGAAAATTGCTTAAAAAATCCACCAGCCCCAGGTATCCCGAGGTGGGACTCGAACCCCATGGCCTTTTACAATGTGGACGACTACTCTAACCACTGAGTTAACTAAAAAATATATTATTTGAAGTTCTTTTTTTTATTTTATTAGCTTTATTGAACATATTCTTCATAGATTATCTTATGTAACATAAATCTTCCATAAGAAGTTTTGTCTTTTCAACGAAAAAGAAATACTCGAACTGAATAATTCGGCCGAATACGAATAGTGAAAAATATGATGAATACCTTGAATACCGAATACCAAACGAATGTTCGGCGCATCTCTGTTCCTAAGTTTATTTATAATAAACTAAATCTTAATCTTCAAAATTTTTGTATATTGTGCTATTATACCTATCTACTTAAGTAATTTTGAATATCAGCTAAACATCCACGGTTCACTGCGGCTAAAATTTGGGATAAATAGTGTATAAAACCCATATATAACAGTGTAATGTTGTATAAAAGTTGCAAGTCAGTCATCGACCTACTTTCCTTCTGTTTTTGAATTCTCTGAAAGAGATGTACAAAAACGATGGACTTCCACGCAAAATCTCACATTAATTTTTTAATTATAATTAGGCACGATTTTACTTAGATCAAACTTATACTAATAATTCAACAAAATTGACACACTTCAACCCAAATTGTTTATATATCAAGAAACCCCAGTGTGTAAATGATTTACAGTATAAATAATAAATAAATAATTATTAGACAAAATCACATATATGGCTTATACAGTATACAAGTAAAAAGACCGTGGATTATCTGAGACAAAGGATATCCACGAAACCTGTTGTCGTTACAAATTCCTCGATAGTCAGATAACATTAATTTATATTTCAATTGTTAATGTGGGATGTGATACCTCTTACGTAATCAATTTTGTAAAATACAAATTTTTGTTGATGAGGAAGTTTCAAACGATGATTTATAATTAGTGATAATCATGATGACAACGCTCGGCGACTTACGCTTTGTTTTTGATTTGAATTTTCTAATGTGACTGAAATAGCAGAATGTAAAGTTATATAATTTTACAAAATAAAAAAACTATTTTATACTTATGAAAATGTTTTTACAGTATGTGTTTATTTATTCACAGAATGTCCCGCATATGGCGAAATACAGATCAAAAAAAGGACAACTGCCTTTTGTGGAGCTCAACGGCGAAGAAATAGCCGACAGCGCTTTCATTATCAAGGAGCTATCCGAGAAATACAACAAGGATCTTGATGCTGGTAAGATGCCCTGTCTTTACCACCTCACTAGTTATTTATGTCACTTTATAGTACCTACGAGCTGTTTGCAACATGTTACAAGCTTCTTATTACACGGTAATTTGATCACCCTGTAATAATCGTGTTGAAATTAGAATTTCTTTATGATTTTATGCTATGTTGCGTGTGCGGAAGTCTTGTTACTATTTCGTGGGGTGTGATGTCCTAAACTCAAAGTTCGTCAAAGGTTTTTGCGCATGTGCATCTGGTGCAGTGCCCGGCAAAGTAATCTAGCTCTTCCTGACCCATTTGCTTGTTACATCAGCTCTGACACCGGAGCAGCGAGTGGTCGCGCACGCAATGATTTCGATGATCGAGAATCACCTCTCCTGGGTGATACTGTGGTGGCGTGCCAAGTATCCGGACAGTGTCATCAAGGGCTACCAGGTCAATTTGCAGAATGCACTAAACACACGTCTGCCAAATCCGATCTTAAACTTCTGCTACAAATTAACATCTGGACGCAAGGTATTTTTAATTTTATTAATTAAACAATAATATGGAATATTTGTATTTATTTAAAGCCATCGTTTACTTATACAGAAATGGAACCGCAACATGCAAATCAACACGAACACTATGCACTTGTTTTGTATATGGACGTATTTGTTATTGTTAAGTGTACGTCTGGTGTTGACCAACTTATAAATACTGTATACTAAGGGTCGTCTACATTATATGCATAAAATACTGTAATTTATATAAACCGTACATAATAGACAAGTTTAAAAATAAATAAGTTTGTAGTTTCTAATCATGTTTTGATACAGTTTTGAGCAATATTTTGGTAAAGATACTTATATAATAGCTGCGATATATTTTTATTTTAGGGTATGAAGAAAGCAAAAGCCCACGGTATCGGAGTGCATAGCCAGGAGGAAATAATTGAGTTTGGCAAGAACGATCTGCGTGTCCTTTCAGATTACTTGTCTGATAGGCCGTTCTTCTTTGGCGACGAACCCACTCTTGTAAGTATGCATATTCATGTTGATTACCTAATAATTAGAGTCCAGTGATTTGGATTTAAAGGTTTTGTACAGCCCTTTGTTCGAATTAACTGAAGAAACATACTGAAGTTTAAAGAACGGTTTTCTAAATATATATTACTGAAAATTTAACAGCATACAATAAAGGATACTGTCTTATATATTTTAGCTCGATGTGGTGGCGTTCTCGAATCTCGCACAACTGCAGTTCCTGGACAAGGAAGTAACACATCCCCTGCGAGATGCGATGAACGAGTCTTTCCCGAACCTGGTCGGTCTTGTGTCTCGCATCAAGGAGCGCGCGTTCCACGATTGGGAGGACATTTGCACCACCCTCGACCTAAACGCCCACCTACCGAAGCCACCCAAAGAGGTGAAGGAGACTAAAGAGGGCACTGGACCCGCTGAGAAACAACCGCTGCCAGACGACACTGAAAAGGGCAAGGTTAGTGATGCACACGGTATAAATAACTACTTGATAACATTACATTTTTTGCAAAGATTCCGAATAGCTAAGTTCTCATCGAAATTTTGAAATTTTGAGCGGACTTGTGATTTCGTTCTCTAAATCGATGAACACAATCTGTTGAATTTCAATCGACCACTTGCTTATACTAGCAACTCCAGATCGGCATCTGTTTGTTGTATCACTTCTAATTCGGCGAAATTGATCACTATGGAACAAATGATAGTCACACCACGTTAGTATATCGGTTTTGATATTATTACTATCGATTACCATACCTAAATCATCATGAAATTATATAATGAACGTAAGCTATCTTCATCGCATTGGTATTTAGTTTTTTAATGCATATGTTAGAGGATTATGTGAAAATTTTGTGTTTAGGAATCATTGTTTTCTTTCTGCTTCCTGATTGCATCCACCTTTTCGATCATAACTAAATAAGTTAGTTTGTTTTTCAAATATCTATTATGAGAAGTAGCCCTGTAAATTGTCATGCTCAGAAAACTAGTAAGTCATACGAGTATAAACGACACAATACCTAAACGAAAGAGACAAGTTTATTTTTTTTTAACAGAAGTCAAGTTAATGTGTTAAGCATTTCGGCTAGTTACGTGGTAGACCAATTTTTCTAAAAGAGCTTTAACGTTTAAATTCTTTAACTCGAAGTTCATGTCGCAGTAGATACGTTGCTCCCTAACGGGTTCAATATATAGAAAGTGACATACCGGTCAAAAGAAGCCCCTCGTCTGCAATATCCTGCTTGGGATCTTAGGCTGTAACAAACACCGTGCAGACTTGGCTAAGTCATTAGCTTATATTATAAGGATGTGGTGTCGTTCCAATCATTACGCTCTCTTCTAAAATTTGGTTGAGAGAGGTTATGGTTGGTCCATTTTAATATGTTTATGACTGTTTGCGACATATTGCAGTGAAGGTCACTTCGATACCCAATGAAGTAATTTTTTAATTCGACCTCTTATATATAGTAAATCGCGAAAGAAGCCGCCGTTGCCGAGTTACTTGTCGGCTGTTCTGAGTTGGTTGTCGTTTTTTTTTTACTTTTACAAGTACATTACATACTTGTTTCATCATCTTCTCACTCCTTATGAATTTTTTAATTTTTGATTTTCAATACACTGAAATATACTGATAGAGTTAAGTTTTCCAAAATGTTTTATTTTTTTTTACTACACACGTGTTGTATGTATGTAAAATATATTAATCTGGATGAAAATGTTAACAGAATCCGCACTGTTAACTAACAGTTCTGGGTGTTCTATTATATATATTTCATATTATTTCAAATATATCTTCCAGGGCGATGAAAAGGAAAAGGAACTCGAAAAGGAGCCAGAAGAAAAGAAAGAGAAGGACAACGAAAAGGAAAAGTAAGATGTAACAGAAAGACGCGATACAAGATTATATATGTACCGTAAAGTTTCAAGCTGAATTATACACTTAGGAGTCAGACTCGTAATAGATTCTGTATATTGTAAGCGTGTAAATCCATTTGTCTTTCCCATTTCTTTCAGTTGTCGACGCTCGTGCGTCAAGCGCTTTATTATTGTATTGACATTTTTATATTATATTACATATATATAAATTTTCGTCGATGTCGTCTAGTACGCAGTATTTTCATTATCGGTGTGTAAGGTAAGACGTGTTTTCTCAACCGTCTTGCTGTGTTTAAGCAGTTACTCATATTATTGTAAGAATTATACGTTTTATGCTTAATATAATGTATTCTATGAAATTACTTATTTCAGTTTGTATTTTTTTGGAGTTATCAAGTGAAATATCATATAAATAAATTTGGTTGTTAAGGTACTTACAGGACTAGTTAATCATATTATTCATATTAATAGTGTTTAATAAGGAAACATAAATGTTTACATTCGTATTACATTGTCTTGTTACGTAAGTGAATTGACTCAATTTGACATCTATTAAATTAAAAATAAGTGTAATTTAGGGAGCGTCACATGACCTAAGTGTTAGTATGTCGTAATAGGTGTCACAATTTACATAGTTAGTTCATTCACGAATTCATCCAAATCGAATAGCGCCCTACTTATTACGAAATTTAAAATGCTACAAAAGTTAAGTCTAGTATAATACCAAAATTTGGCTGACATTAGTTGATAAATCAAGGAAAGTATTACACAATTATCTAAAGCAAAGCTGGTTAGCACGCAATATGGAAAGAGCAGGCGTGTGATTAGACTGTTTTGAAATTCTTGTACTTTATTGATTTTTACATATAAAAATTTACAATTTACAATTTTTGATAAACGAAAAATGCCTGGAAGACTGTTTTTCATGTTATTATGTAATTCATAGTCCATAAAATTTTGATATTGTATTAATTGTTAAGATTTAGGGAAGATTGTACTCAAATTTTATATGGGCACATAATTAACTTTCCATATTTATGATATTACAGCATTAAGCGTTGTGAAAACAATGAGTCTATGTCATTCCCGATTGTGCATTAATTTAACTCTGTTACCTACTGCATTTATTTCAATGCGCAATGTACGTAATTAATTGTTATTCAATACTCAATAAAGACTGCTTTTTTAATACTTAGTATACATTTAAATTTTAAACAGTTCATGACATCATTATTTCATATTTGTAATTTATATTAGATCTGGAGCGTTAGTCACTGAAACAGGCTTATTGCATTATATTCAATGGAATTTGTAATTCATAGTCATTTATTAGTTTATGATCATAATATAGAAACATTCCAATGTTTGTGGCTCACCTTATAAGCGATTATTTTATTTAAATATTAATTTCTCAACATCTTTTTTGGCGAAAAATAGACAGCTTATAAATTTATCGAAGGGGAGGGAGCTTCGCGCTGTGACCTTTGCTTGAGAGTAGATTGTGAAATAAGTCGGTCGTTGTTCGTAAGGTGGTGTTTAATCTAGTAATTACACTTTGAAATTTCTCATCCCAAGTTTTACATTTGAATTCGATAATATAAGAAATAATATCTGTAAGTTGACCACTTGCGGTTTTTGAAGAGGCATCATAAATAATCGTAAGATAATATACGTAGGTAGGGTAGAGTAGTAGACGGGATTGTCGTGCTACGGTAGAGTAAGGACGAGCCGATGGCGAATTTGTTGATGTCGTTCAGATCTAGTTGTAATACCGATAAAACTATATGTAAAAATATAATAGGTGGACTTTTGTTTGTTGTAAGATTTTTTATTGACATTTTTGGGGAATGGTTGACACTGATGTCCCTCCCGACAACTGCTGACCATCACTGCCATTAGTCTCAGGTTATAAGGTGTTAAGAATAAGGAAAAAATAGATTAGGAAAAGTGGATGTATTTTGAACAAGTGGACCCTCCGGTTGTCTCGCGCACAGCGGGACATCGATGAGGCGGATGTTTAACATATACCTCTTTGACTAAAAATGCCCTAGATACAACATTGACGCACGAAAATTGCGTTTGTTACAGAACAGTTATGACTGTTTCATAACTGTTCTGTAACAATCGCTAAAATAATATCATATAGGTGTTAGAAAAGGAATGCGATTACCTATCATACTACTATTGGCAAGTATATGTTACGTTATATATTACATTTTTAATATCAAAATAACTGTAAAACTCAAATGCATGTACTAGTTTTCTTGTTTAAATTATTTGAAAACGCATGTCGGATTCGCAATGTATTAGTATAAACTTGTTTCTTGATCGTACTATATCAAATTAATTATCAGTAATAAATATTTAAATCTATTATATCACAATTTATTTTAGTCAAGTATTGGACTCTGAGTATGAATTTGCAAGTGATGTGGTATGTAGGGTTTTTTTAATCACAGATATACCTATATATTCGTAACGGTTATTCATTATATACTCATAATTATTGCTGTATAAGGCATTTGTGGCTAATATTCGCGAGCCTGTTTCAGTGTAATGCAACATCTCGATAGTGTATTTAGATACTTAGTTGAATCTCATCAGTGTAACGCCACACAATATACAGATTGAATACCTTAGATGAGAAATTGTCATCAATTGATTACGAGGAGAGTTTGATTTGTCGTCACGGGCCGTAATTATAGAACTAAGACTAGACTTAAAACAGACATTTTACATTACATCTAATTCATATGTACTTTAGTAATGGGGCAATAAAAAATTTTACTCTACATAAAATTAGATGAAACGTTGGTAGCAAGTTCTCTTGCAAATCGACTAAAGTATTATTCTTTATTGCCTCACGCCATAGAATTGTAATCTATGTGGTAATTATATTTAACGACACATATTCTGACTCGACGTGTATTGCTGTAAGTTAGTGTTATTATACAAATTAATCTAATCCTAAATATAAGTATTTCAAATATGTTCATATTAATAGAGCAGTAGAGAGAACTATAAGAAAACTGATCTATAACTCGTATTTATGATTCTTAATTTTATATTCCTTCAATATAGTAGTTGTGGTTTTCAATTATTGTGTCAATGATATTTAAAACTAAAATTATTCAATTAGATATTGTTAGCCATAAATATACCGATTAAATACAACTGAGCTTTGTCTGGACACAATGTTCTCATAAGAATTTCAGTGTAATATTCTGTCGCCATTAAAGTATGTATCTACTATTTCTAGAGAACTGCAAGGTTCTTCGTTTTGGTTCATGGTAACTACTGAGAACCAAGTCGAGAGGCCGAGCGGGTTTATTTATTGCAATGTGTACCTCTCCTTATTTCATATTCCTAAATTATATGTAGGTAGGTATTATACCTGGTGTGTTCATAAGTTTTGAGACGAAATAAATTTTGCGTAACTTTTTTAATAATTAACTTGTATTTTCAGTAAATTTTCAGTAACCATTAAGTAGACTATAAAATATATATTTAATTCAAAATGATCGCCCTTGTTTTAAGACGATTTGGTCAGTCATCAATGGCGATATGAATCATTTCTAGCGGAATTCGCTTTGCTTCTCGAACAAGGGTTCGCTTCAGTGACTCCAAGTTTGGGGGAACTTTCGGCAAGCCCTGGCTCTAATGCGATCTACAAAGAATAATCCAGCGGGTTGAGGTATGGGCTGGAGGGGGGCCACTCGTCCGCTGCGATGAATGCCGACACATTTTCCCTCAATCAAGCTTGGGTGCTTTTACCTTATGGGATGGCGCCCAGTCTTGCTGAAAAATGCAATCCTTATTGTGAAATAACGTATCAAACAGGGGTTTTACTACGGGCTCTAAAATGTAACTGATAATTCTTGGCTTCCACCTTGATACCTTGTTGGCAGAAATGGAGCGGAGTGACACCTTCATACGAAACTCCCCACAATCACACTATTTCGAATAGTGAAAAGGTTCGATTCCGAACCTACGACATTTTTTTTTTTGTATTTTGTATTAAGAATATCATTTATTTTATCAGTGAAAAAGTTTGTCTCAAAACATGAACACACGACGTATATTTCATTCAGACGAGAGCGCGTCCGTCAATCCAGTCACAAATTATATAGTTTTGAGAAAATCCGAAAACAGAAATCACAAGAATGTCAAATCAGACGTCAAAATTCATTTGAATATTTCCCGCTCTTGTAACTTTAGGTATGTCCGGAACTTTATGGTAAGTTTTATTTTTTCTGTTATTAACGGGTAGGGGTGATGTGTGGTGATTCCACGGGCTGATTCCAGCAGTGCTACCCTCTTGTATTTTTAATGAAGAAGTATTTTAAAAAAAACGTAAGTTCCCGAAATCAAACTAGATGTCGCTATCGTACGTTGTTGATTTCTCTATGACAATCCTTCCGGTTTTCTTTCATGTTTAAAAGTAAATTAGTTTTCAAAACTCAATAAACAACTCATATTCTATTTGTACTTTATCGTATTTGTATTGATATCAAAGTTTCGAACTTTTAAAATTTCAGTTTTTTAATATGTTAGTTAAAAGGAACGGAAATGACCGTTTTTGATCCAATTGTTTCCTGTAAAAATCAACTTTTACTAGAGCCGCCATCTAGCGAAGGTGCTTTTTTAGAGCTCTCGTTTTTTTTAAATACTACCTCATTAAATGAGGAAGTATTTAAAAAAAAACTTTATATCTCGAAATCAAACTAGATGTCGCTACGGTACGTTCTTGATTTCTTCAATGACAGTCATGTCCGTTCCTTTTAAATAACATATAAAAAAACTTAAATTTGAAAAGTTCGAAACTTAGATATCAATATAAATAAAAAAAGTACAAATAGAATGTGTTGTTTATTGTGTTGTGAAAACTTATTTATTTTAAAACATGAGAAAAACCGGAAGGGTGGTCATGGAAGAAATCAAGAACGTACCGTAGCGACATCTAGTTTGATTTCGAGAAATAAAGTTTTTTTTAAATATTTCTCGACACAATAAACAACACATTCTATTTGTGGAATTATATAGGATCTATAGTGGCCGCTGGCGACTTCGTCCGCGTTTTTTATTATTTCTTCGCTCCTAATAGTTGCAGCGTGATGTTATATAGCCTAAAGCCTTCCTTGAAAGTTACTGTCTATGAAAGCGAAAGAATGGGAAGTGTTAGGAAAGTCAATAGGACTACAATTACGCGATTTAAAAAATAAAGATTTAACCATTGCACAAAAATTTATTGCTGATGTAATTTATTATGCAGAAATGGGAAAATTGATGGAAGATATACTGACATAGAGATAGGAACGATTTATCTTCCATCACAGTCTTTTAACACAGACCATTCTTCCACATCATCTTCTTTTTTTTTGTAAGCAGATAAAATTACCTTATTCAATCCCACATAACATACAATCACCTCACTTTTTATATAATTAGGCATTATATTATAGGCATTATATATATGTATCATTCATATATATATGTATGTATCATATATGTATCATTATCATTATATTATAGGCATTATATGTATCATAATGTACAAAAAATCGGCTTATTATTATATTAAAAGGGTAAATTAGCTGGAGTAAAAAAAACACCTTCTTTAACCAATGAAACTAAGCGGAACGAAGATCGGCAAGTTTAATATTATGTGTTCCGTTAGACGTCTGTAGCGCTACCATGAGTTGCTATCGAAAATTCTCATTACGTCACCGCAGTCGCTAGCGAATAAACGCACTTCGAATAGTATTCGATAGAAGTTGTACCATGAGTCACATTTACGTTTACTATACTCGCTAACGTTAACTCGAACATTCGAATAGTTTTTGTTACGTGACCGTGTTTGCGCCTAACTTCACTCCAAATGAAACTGTCTCGTTCTAATTATGCTGAATAGAGTGAGAAAGGATGACTTTGGGCTAAAAACCGACTATTTAGATCTTCAAATTTAAAAAGTAGATGAAACCCTACTAATTTTAAGCGTCATTGATCATTCTCATAACGCGAAGTGTAACTGATTATTGAATTGATTCGGTTATTTCCGTGTTGTGACAAATCATTGAGTATTTCTGTTTCTTGACTGGCGGTTGTTTTGGTAAATTGTGCATAATATCTAAACATTAAATGCGGAGTGGTGTATCACAAATACAGTTATTGGTTGAATATATGGAAAGGAATGTACTTCAATACAATTCTATTATATTATTTAATACCTAGAATAAACTTTGTACAGTAAAATGTAGTCCTCCAGTTTTTTTAGACGAAATATTTGTTTGAGTGTTCAGATAAAGTTAAGGAATGCTGAGTGCTCTTTATTTGGTTAAGGTAAATTTTAGCGGGACTTTAATAATATAATACATTGTTTTTTGTAATTTATCAAACATAAAAATTTTAAAATAGACGCAGTTTATGAAATTTTTGAAATATAGTAAGAATATACAACCTAATCCAATGCTATCGATCTAACCCTGTTCATTTATTTAAACATTCATTTATTTATTTTTGTTGTTATCCGTATCACGTATCCCTTTTTAATGTTTTAACAGAAATGGTGACCTTAGTAAACCAAAAAACTCCTTATTAAGCCTATATTATTTGATAAAATTATTCTCACTAATATTTCTCATATCCGCTTCAAATTTTCTCTGTTCTCGTCGTTTGTCTTCATATACAGCTTATGATACATATAATGCCTAGTTGACATTATATGGGTCAATAATAACTGAAAATAATCTATTAAACAATACTCTAACAAGAGTAATAAGTTTTCACGCTACGTTTTGCAAGTGAGAGAGTTAACTACAGTTGCTACGGTATTTCTCGATGACGTTTGTCAAATTTGTAACTCATGGTACCGATGTTCTATGGGATAAGCCACGAAACGTAAAAAACGTTAGTCGCTAGCGATTGGCTTTCGATAGGTAAATTTACTATAGGACTCATACTAGCAATCTTTAGTTTCACAAGTGACCGCTAGGAGCGCTGTACAGTTCTCCATACAAATCATTTACGCAGTCGCTAGCGAGTACGGTCATTGTAAACTCATGGTAACGCTACAGAATAACATTTCGTCTCTTCAGTCATCACTGCATCAATATATACCTACAACCTTCTACCGAATTTAACACAGGGATTTGAGCCTCCCCAAATCAATATACCCGACTCATCTGACCCACTGCATAACACAACAATGTCATTTCCAACCGAATCTTCACAATTTCAGGTTCTTTCTTCACACATACAAAATGACGGCAAAAACACTTCTAAGATAAATATCCAAGAATAGAAAATTTTCTAATTTAATTTGTTTTTTAATTGTAATTTAATTTTGTAATAAAAAATGTAGATAATAAATAAATGGCAGTTTCACTTTACTTACCTCTATATAATGTTTTAAACATATAGAGATAGCCCTCCATGTCTCTGGTATAATTTGTGATAGCAGGGGTTCTGATATCAATGAGCTATACTTTAAATCATAATATGCATTTCCCGTTGCTAAAAATCTTAACGTTACAGCTAACCGTTGTTTAGCGCTTACACTAGTTCTTAATAGCGTATCTTGTTTTTTTCTTATATAAGGTGTCACTATTTTAATATTAAAATAGTGCCTAGTTAAATTGTGCAGAACTCATTCTGAAGTAGTTTCTAACATCCTCTGCTTCTAACAAACTTACAACGTTCAAATTGCACAGCTTGTCTCTTAGAAGTAAGTATTTTTCACCCAACATTTTCCTTTCTTTGTTTTATTATTTACGCCCGCAGTTAAAGCAAGGGCTTTGCCAATTTTTTGGTACTTTGTGAGCGCAGGAGCCATCCTTTCAACGCCACGTTTGCACGCCAACTGACTTAGGGAAGCGATCTAGTGCAGTGTAATCACAACGACGGCAACCGCCCTAAATCGAGGCCGATAAATCGTGCCCGATTGATTGGGTAGTGAAATAGGCGCTTCACTGATTGGTGATTTGGACAAAAGAAACGATTCACTAGGCAAACCTCACCGCATGCTTCAAGACGTAAAAGCGGCAACGTCGCTTAGTTGTTGTTTTGTTGATTTTTTAACACGTTTGCTCGTAAAGCTAATGTAATTCCACCGGTTGTAAAGCGGGTCATAAAAAACGCATGTGTTACCAAAGCAAATAGTTAAGTTATAGTCTATACAAATTCCATAACAGTATTATTTCGCGCGCTGTTGCTATTCAAATTTCGAGCCGCGCGGCGCGGGTAATGGGTAAA